CTCTCGAACAAAATAACAGTCCATCTCCACGTGCTTCGTACGTTCGTGGAACACAGGGTTAGCTGCAATATGAATTGCAGCCTGATTATCACAATGAAGGACCGTTGGACCAGTAGAAGGAACTCCTAAATCGCAGAGAAGAGCTCGCAGCCAAAGAACTTCGCTTACGGTACTAGCCATGGCGCGATACTCGGCTTCCGCCGAAGAACGGGCAACGACCCCTTGTTTCTTAGTCCGCCACGAGACCGGGGCATCACCCAATGTAACAAAATAGCCTGAGGTTGATCGTCGAGAAGTCTGACAACCGCCCCAGTCAGCATCACAGTAGGCCGTGAGATGCAAATCACTAGTAGAGGGAAGTAAGATGCCCTGCCCAGGAGCACTCTTCAGATAGCGGAGCACCCGCTCAGCAGCAGCAACATGAGCAGAAGTGGGAGCATGCACGTATCGACTGAGGATGTTAACAGCATAAACAATGTCAGGTCGGGTTACCGTGAGATACTGGAGACGGCCGACCAGGCGACGATATGCAGCGGCATCGTCATCAGAAACGCGAGGAGACTCATCATCAGGAGGTCGCGTAAGTTGATGGTGCTGTTCAATGGGAAAGATGCTAGGACGCCCACCAGAGAGTCCACTGTCCTGTAAGAGATCAAGTGTGTATTTTCGTTGGCAAAGCACAATACCAGCACGGGACCGAGCTACCTCAATACCCAAAAAGTACTTCAGAGGCCCAAGATTTTTGATGCCAAACTCGATGTGAAGCCTGTCCTTAACCTGCTGAATGAAGTCCATATCGTCACCCGCCAGGATGACATCATCAACGTAAATGAGCGCAACTACATATGAACCCTGTCGACGACGAACAAATAAAGAGTAGTCTGCATGAGAACGTTGAAAACCAAGACCTGTAAGAGTCGATGTGAACTTCGCATACCAGTTGCGAGAAGCCTGCTTCAGCCCATAAATGGATTTGTGTAAACGACAAACCCGGGAATCACCAGGTGCTGCAAAGCCTGGAGGAATCTGCATATAGACCTCTTCCTCGAGGTCACCGTGTAAGAAAGCGTTATCCACATCTAGTTGATGGACAGCCCATCCCCTAACAGCAGCAACGGCAAGGAGGCACCGAACACTGACCAACTTAGCCACAGGAGCGAAGGTATCGTGATAATCTATACCCTCGGTCTGAGTGAAACCCTTGGCCACTAGACGGGCCTTGAAGCGCTCAATGCTACCATCCTGTTTGTACTTAATCTTGTAAACCCATTTACAAGAGATAACCTTCTTACCGGGAGGCAAATCCACGAGAGACCACGTTCCATTTGCGACCAACGCATCGATCTCACGTTGCATGGCGACTCGCCATTCTTGATACTGTACAGCGTCGCGAAATAATGCCGGTTCTGTGTGACTCGACACGGCTGCCAAGAAACTCCTATGGCCTGCTGAAAAAGCTTCATAGCGCACATAATTAGACATAGGGTAAGGCATATTAGATGGAGGTAGTTCCACGTCAAAATGATCAAAATATTTTGGAACTCGCCGATCTCGCAAGCTACGGCGCAAACCATGAGTGGGTTCCTCCACCAAGACCGGCTGGGATGAGGATTCGTCATGCTCCCCAAACGAGCTCGAAGAGGCCCTTTCATGCATTGCACCTTCATGCATTGCATCCTGTTTCTCGGCAGTAGAGTCTAACGAGGGAGTTGTGTCCACCAAGTCCTCCTCCCCCACTGTGACATTACGTGGATCAACAAAAATGGTACTTGGCATAGAAGCACGAGGGTGTTCATGAAATGGGAAGCAATCCTCAACAAAACGCACGTCCCGGGACGTGTAAAAGGTACGTGTAGTGAGATCATACAACCGATACCCTTTTTGAAATGCAGGATATCCCATAAAAACGGAACGTCGGCCGCGTTCCCCAAACTTCGAAATGTTCTTGTGTGTATCTTTCCCGTAGGCTAAACACCCAAAAACCCGTAAATGCTTGTACGATGGGACTTTCTTGAGCAGAATTTCATAAGGTGTCCGATTCTGCAGAATCTTCGAAGGTAGACGATTTATCAAGTAAGTTGCTGTCAAAACACATTCTCCCCAAAACTGTAAAGGAAGATTAGCTCGAAATCGTAAGGCGCGAGCAGTCTCGAGCAAGTGTCGATGCTTTCGCTCGACCACTCCATTCTGTTGGGGTGTATCTGTACATGATGTGCGGAGAACAATGCCATGATCTTCATAGTACGAACGCAACCCAAGGGTCTGAAATTCTAGACCGTTATCCGCTTGGATCTGAGCTACCTGCTGGCCGAATTGTGTCTTAGTCATATTTAGAAACATTTTTAAATATCCCTCCACATCCGACTTGTAGCTCATCAAATACACCCATGTAGCTCTACTGAAGTCATCGACAATTGTAAGAAAGAAACGAGCTGCATTCTGAGTAGGGACTTTGAAACCTCCCCAAATATCCACATGGATCATTTCAAAACAACGACTGGTCCTTATCGAACTCTTAGGAAAAGGCAAACGTGTCTGTTTAGCACGCATACAAGAATCACAAGCCTCAAGCTTGCACTTATTCTGAATAGACGAAAACAACAAAGAAGCCTTCTGTGGCGACGGGTGACCCAGCCTAGAGTGCCAAAGCTCCCCCATTCCATCATCACTCCCTGCTGCCAAGGCACACGGCTCCCTCCCGTCAAATAGGCGAAGATAGTACAGTCCATCACGGAGCTGTCCCGTCCCAATCGTCCTCTTGGAGCGTAAGTCCTGGATGACGCAAAAATCGCGTAAGAACGTCAAAGCGACATCAAAATCTCGAGTAAGTCTGCTTACGGAGAGGAGATTGCACTTAAACATCGGGATGCTTAGAACACGGCTAAGCTTCATTTCCTTTGACAATTCTACTTCCCCAACACTTTTCACAGCAATTTTATCCCCATTGGGAATACTAACAGGTTGATAACCATGTGCATCATTGGCGTTCTCTAACAAGGTGTCATCATTAGTGATGTATTCGTTGCATCCGGAATCAATTACCCATTCAGAATTGGAAAGAAGCTTACCCGCCATGTGGACTTGCGACTCAGAGGTTTGCGATGTGGAGCCATTGGCGTGGTTCAGGAATTGAAGCAGTTGCTGAACCTGCTCAGGATTCAGTCCCGGAATGGCGACACCAGCGCCTGTTGACGACTGCGCTGCGCGCGACTTGGCTGGCCGGGAATCGCGTTGCCTCTCCTCTCTGTCCCCTTGACGCGGGCGCCTTTCAGGCCATCCTGCTGGGTACCCAATTAATTCAAAGCATGATTCCTTAGTGTGCCCACGTTTTTGACAGTGGCTGCACCTAGGCTTATCTTTGCGGTCACCGCTTCTGCTTCTCTCAATGCCTTTGCTCGAGTCACTAGTGTCACGACCACGATGAGCCTGAAGTGCAGCTGCCTCCACATGAGGTCTCCTGCTTGCCGAGATCTGCTTGTGTTGTTCTTCCGTAGCAATAAGCCTGTATGCTTCGGCCAAAGTAGGAGTTGGCTTCATGGCCAATATTTGGGTTTTAACTGTCCCAAAAGCCTCCCCAAGTCCCATGAGGAAATCAAATAGGCGTTCATTCTCTAGATTATCCATGACCTTCTTCCCAACTTCACAAGTACACAGCCCGCACGTACAACGCGGGATGGGGGTTATTGTTTGCATCTCTTCCCAGACTGAACGCAATTTTGTGTAGAAAGTAGAGACACTCAACTTTTCTTGCCGCAAATTGCTAACCATCTGCCGAAGTTCATAAGCACGAGGTGCTGAACCCTTCCCAAACCTAGCTTCTAGATCGATCCATATCTCTCGCGCGGTCTTAGCATACCGAATAGAGCTACGAACCTCTTTATCCATGGCTGTTTTCAGCCATCCTTTCACGAGAGCATCACACTGCAGCCAAGCGTCTCGCAGCTCACCATCTGCCGCCGGTTTCATTATTGATCCATCCACGATACTCAACTTATTTTTAGCGATTAGGGCTTCCGTCATATCTGTTACCCATTCGCTATAATTGGAATCGTTTAACACTTCGCCAACGAACAATTGACCCGGATTGTCCGATGCTTGAATCTTTAATGCTGTCGGGATTACTACTGGAACAGATGCTCCGCCGCTGCCACTGCTGGGATTCATCAGCTGCCGAGTATCACCGCTAGTTTCGCCGTCAGTCATCGCAAGATCTCTGATCTAGAAGACCAGCTCTGATACCATGAAAGATTTCTGTACGAGAAAGTAAATGACGCAAGACACGAGTTTTACGTGGTTCGTCCCATTCAGTGTGAATTAGGCTTACTCCACGGAGAAGATTAGCTCTCTCAAGCTTTTCATTCAATGTACGGCCGATTACAACGAAGAGATCAATATATACCCTATTCCCATGGACTACTAGGGTTATACGTGGTGAAAAGACTTTCTCACCCTTACACCCTCATGCAAACGACTACGTACAAGGAAATCATCATCTTATAGGTACAAGTGCCTGCTTGCTTACAGTTTCAGCCACGGACGACGCCTGTTCCCATGGGTGTGACAGCTATAAACAAGAACGTTCAATGTTGGAATTCACATATGCCAAGACTACTCATTCTGTGGGTTTAAAAACCCCAATGGACGAACTTCAAATTCTTGGGATACCGAGTGTTGCAGAATGTGTATAAGATAGGCCGCTTGGCATTTATCCAGGGGCACATTAAGTGCTTATGACTTGCAAACATGTTTCTCATATGATTTATTGGGTAATGTTTCAACAATTCTCCAATTGTTAGGTTTGTAATATACACTATTCTGTTCTACGCCTTTAGTAAAAACTCAGCCGGAATTTCTATAGGGAAAGAAAGAAGGAAATGGTGAAGTTTCGATTGGCCACGTACTTTAAAATTGAAAAAACAAAACCCCAGCATTCTTTTATTGTTGCTTTGGATAATATTTGTATTTTTTTCTTTGAAAAGCTTAATAATATTGGTTTATGTTATCATGTAGTATTTTCATTGTGTTACCTTTAACCAGCAGACCACACAACTATAAATCTAGATGAACACCCTTCCCGACGCGAAGCGCGGGCAATGAAAACTAGTGGGTATTAACTCATTCAAGCGATCAGGCTAAGGGGTGGATTGCTGAGGGACAGAGCTGATGTCATGACAAAGACAGAAGACAACCGAGAGGTCAATTGTTACTTTTTCTAGTTGTAGTCTTGTAGATGATGATATCACCAATTCACAGATTAATCGATGAATGATGATGATTGCTCGGTAAAACAATAATTGAGCAGAAAGAAAGCTTTCTACATCAAGAAGACTGACATTGATATATCCACAGTACATACGATAAAGTAGGAAAGCAAACTGTCCCCCCTTCCTTTCACAATCATTTTTTGTTTGTTTTTTACTCTGTTTGGTAATTGCAACGATCTTCAATGGATCCTAACATACATTCTTTTGCCACCTCCTCCCTCCGTTGTTTCTGAAACTTGTGGAGTCATAAGGCCGGCGATCGGTTGTGGTTAACCTCAACAGAAATTGAGCCATATAAGCCAACTGCAACAGCACCACAGAAGGTTAGCGGTTTCGCTCCATTGTTTCTGAAACTTGTGGGGTCTGACTCCCTGAGACTTACTCCGCAAACAGGTTATGGATTTCGTCTCTGCATAAGTCTCGTAAACCCACCTCCGATAGGGAAGGGGATCGTAAAGCCATAGTTAAACCGAACCAAAGAGGGGGTAAGGGGGGAAAAGCAACTGTTGTACAGACAGGATTGTGGAGGACCGATCAGTTCTGCTGTTGAAGCATGTTGTGGAGAGGATTTGAGGACGCATGGCGTCAGACCGGTTATCCGGTTCTGCCATAGAACTTGGAGGATGTATTCCACTGATTCTTCCAAGTTCGCTCTGATCAGCTGCAGCAGTAAGTGAGCCCACAACATCTGCTTGATTTCTCAGTGGTACTTCCAAATCTTCAACAGAAATCTGCATCTGCAGCAAAATGTCCTCTACGAGAAAAAGATTGAATATTTTCGCAGCTCTTTGTTTTTGGTAACCGTAGAAATGCTAGACCAGAACAAGGCTATAACTTACTTTACCATGGATAAGTACACATCTAACACAAATAGCTAGCATCTCAATTTCAAGCAACCACCAATAAAGCCAAGTGAATGCAGTAGGATACAGCCATAGATATTGCATAAAAGGAAACATCCCACAGAAAGTAACCTAGTATCTCAAATCTCAATGCTCCCAATCCATTTAACACAACGTCAGAGGTAACTTCTGGTCTGGGAATTCACAAGAATACAAGAGATCTTCGGATAAACACACAATGATAGAAAGCATTATGGTTCATTATAAGCATAGCAATGTGGTAAGAATTCAGAGAAAACATTTTCTAATAGTGCTTATGTTAAGTATACTATTCTATTCTATTTTCGGACTGTAATTAATTATGCAACTACTAACAGAAAGAATCAGCCCACAAAGGTAACAACAAAAAGAAAAATTAAGCTCTTTCACCAGTAATCCCCACAGGAACAATGTCCGTCACTGAAATGATGGAATCTACTGGCATCTCTGACTATAATTTCCCTCCTCTTCAACATTGATATCAACTTGATTGCTTCATGACAGTCACCACAGATCCTGTGACCCTGAACCACCTGCAACTGCTTCCACCAAGGACTGCTCATTACCCCTAAACCCACAGCCAACATCTCACTATGATACCCCGGTTTCTTCTTCTGGTCTATTTCATCTACATCCGGAAGCACCGTTTTCTCCCCAGGAGCATACCCATGTTTGGATATCTGCTTGATCAGCTCATCCACCTTCTCATGAACCTCCTTGCTTAGTGGATGAGACTTATCTCCAAAGTGGAGAACATGCACCCGTCTTCCTACTTCAATCCAACTACAAGCTGGAAGAATATTCATACCCTTTCTTCTTATGGTGTTGAGGATTGCAGCAGCTGCTTCCTTTGAGCTGCCAGAAGAACTCTTGTATATGTTGAGAAGAACAATGTAATTGTTCAACTTTTCCGGTTCCATTCCGTAGAGCTTCTCAGCTGCATATCTTCCAAGCTCTAAATTTTCCTCCATTCGACAAGCTGTTACAAGTGCAGCCCACATGTTTACTGTGGGGTTGAAGGGAGCTCCTCTGAGCAAAGCAAAAGCTTCATCAATCAACCCGTCTCTACCCAGTAGTTCGATCATGATTGCATAGTGCATCGCCCGTGGCTTGATCCCATGATCAGTCTCCATTGATTTAAAAATTTCCCACCCTTGTACTGATAAATCAGAATAGCAACAAGCAGATAGTACAGCATGAAATGTAATGTGAGTCGGCCTCATTTTTTCGTGGATCATCCGGTCAAACAACTCAATTGCTTCACTGCCTTGACCGCGGTTACTGTATCCGGAGATCAGCGCATTCCAGGAAAGCACATTCTTACAAGGCATCTGCTCGAAAACATGCCGAGCATATTCTATTCTCCCCCATTTGCTATACAAGTCTACAAGTGTTGTATTTGCCACCATATCTGATCCAAAGTTCTGCCGGTATAAAGCAGCATGTGCTTGCTTAGCATAATCCAAAGAAGCCAACCTTGCACATACCCTCACGATTAGTGAAATCGTGAAGTGATCCATTTTAACACCAGAATCACTCATTTGGAAGAACAAGTCCACAGCTTCTTCACTGTAACCATGAAGGGCATACCCAGTAATCATTGTATTCCATCCTACAGTTGTTTTCTCTGGCATATCCTCAAAAATAAAACGAGCATCTTCTATAGCACCACACTTGCTATACATATCGATAAGCGAACAAGAAATGAATATGTTGTGCACCGCTCCCATTTTCAGCATACAGGCATGTAATTGCTTCCCGATAGAGACTGATCCAAGTCCGGTGCAAGCTCTGATCGTTGTGGAAAACAAGCGTGGATCACCTTCGGAAAAATCTTCCCACATAAGCAGGAATAATCTAAACGCCTCCAAGTACTCTCCAATATCTAGAAGCCCACCCATGATTGTAGTCCATGAAATTAGATTCTTTTCTGGCATTTCATCAAATAAAAGGCGTGCTTCCTCCATCAGACCACTTTTTATATGCATGAGCAGCACTCTGTTTCTCATGTAGATATCAGGTTCAAACCCATTAGATTTCATGTAATGGTATATCCTCTTGACTCCTCGAACAGATCTTAACCCTATACAAGCTCTGATTAGCGCATCATATGTATCCACATCGACATCAAACCCACCTTCAAGCTCAAATATCTCAAACAAATCAAGCGCTTGTCTATACCTTCCGCACAGGACTAACTTCTCTATCTGACTACAGAGTGAAGCACTCGGTTTTTTCATCCGGGCATCGTCAAATTCGACAATTTCATTCACATCATTATCGATTCTGGTAGGAATTGGGATAGGACGAGGTTTTAGTCCCGGATTTAGCGAAGAAGCACACCGGAATCTACCAAACGGTTTCCTCCAAATGCCCTCGCAGATTGAGGAACGATACCCAGGAAACAGAGATCTATGATCTGAGGAGGAAGGGAAACCACAGTTGTTCCTAATTTGATCCCGAGAAAGGCAGTGGTAGCGCAACAATGGAACCTCCATATCCCACAACAAGAAACCAAATTGGTTTTAAATCGCCGATCACTTGTGAAATGCCAGAAAATGCCGTACCTTGGAGAACCAGATGCAACAGTAGCAGCAAAAGAATAGAATGTCTGTCAGCCCGGAGCTCGGAAACTACCAGCGGAGACTCATCAAATCTCGCGGCTATCGTCGGGTTCGTAGCTAACAATGGCCGCTCTCGTTTCTTCTCCTGCTTCATCGTTGGCGAGAAGGAAAAGGGGGGGTTTTAGTTATTTCTCCAAAGGGCTTAGCATCGAGAGCTCCGCCTATTCTTCATCTCAGATCAGCTGTTTGTGTGTGGACTGATGGTTGTTAGTTGCTCCAACGTTCACCGGCCAAGATTTCCAACGACAGGACTGTTTTCACCATGAAACGCCGTCGTTTCACTAGTCCAACTATATCATACCAACGGCATCGTTTCATTTCCCAAATAGTTATCATAAATAGTTACAAAACTATTCACTTTGTACAAAACGGTTACAAATCTTTAATTTTGCACATTTCAGTAACATATATTTGTACTAATAACAAAAAGGTAATTCTATCCATCTCCATCCAAAATTTTGTTAGTTTGGTCCAATCAGCTGCCCCGTCGACATACACATCATCAAAATTAGTTTGGTCCAATCAGCTGCCCCGTCGACATACACATCATCAAAATAATTACTAGAAAATAAAAGCAAAACCAATCAAACCCTAACCTACCCACCATTTATGCTTTGATTCACTCATCTGTGGTGGCCGGCTATGCGTCGTTGGCAGCGCCACCGTTGGCGAACGTGCCATTGGCATTTACATTGTGGAGGAGGAGGGACAAACGAGACTGGAGTCACGTGGCAAAGTAGTTGGAGAGCGACTCGCTAAAACACAACTGCTAACAATGGTCAAGTGTAACCAATGAAAGGGACTACAGTATAGTGACACAAGTAATAAATATCGAATCCACGGGTCTCTAGAGTTACTATTACTCAGTTTCAGTCCATTATCTAGCAAACCAAATTAATGATTGATTTACTAAACTACTCTACTAACTAAACTTAGCCTAAACTACTAATTACAGGTTGGGAATTCACTCAGGTATGATTCCCCCTAACTCCTCAATTATGTCCAATTTGTAATTTCCTTTGGTTGTTTTACTGTTGATTAAATTGCAGAAGATCCGATAATAGCTTGGAATCTCTTAAGCTGACCAACCTATCTTAGACAGAATACCCGGCGGGCGACTAACCTCCACTTGAGTACAAAGCTAAGGCAATACACAAAGATCTCCACTACTAGAATGAATTCCAGTATAAAGCAGTGAATTGACTGACTCTCATACAATCAATTCCCTACTACCAATTGAGAAAGCTCTCTTAACCGAATCAGATTCTATCTATCAAAGGTTAAAGCAAAAATCAAAGGAAAGTGATCAAGATTCAATTGACTCAACAATCATGCATCCATTGATTAAAACCATTCAGTATAACATCCAAAGTTTCAAACAAGAAAGATCCTAACACATGGAAGTTCCTCAAAACCTAAGTGAAGGGAAGTTACTCCATAGAGAAGAGAGAGATTGCAGTATAACTTTCCAGATCTTCAATCTTCATGTCTAGACTTCTTCCTTGAGCTTCAATGGTGAAGAATCCTCCAAAATAGCTCCAAGAATGACTCTAGATCGCCCTCTCTCTTTTTGGATCGTTCCTTGGATGTTTGGGATCCAAAATCCAGCTCTCTCCCTCAAAATTCGCAGAAAACAGACTTATACTCGAGCAGGAGGCAGAAACACAGTCAGGAACATGGTCGTGTTTAGTCCTGTCCATGTTTAGTCTCGCCCATGTTTTGCATCCCTTTAGCAGTCTTCACAAGAGAGGCTCGAATTAAAAAACAATTGTAGGTGCCAGATGAAACACGACCGTGCTTTGTGGAGAGCCTGCCCGTGTTTCTTCATCCGAACCTATTACACTACCTTTGATGCTTTGTTTCTCCCTCGTCCGGACTCCGAATCAGTCGTCGTTTGATCCTAGACGCTCATAATCTCGTCCTTTTTCTTTTCATTAAAAGCATACATGATAATTTGTCCATAAATAAGGTATAAATTCATTCTTCTTCAGGTCATGCCCGAGTTTCTTCTCCAGAATCTCAAATTGATCTCCAATTGACTTGAAACTTGCGTTTATACTTCACTTTACGTGTTATAGCCTGAAATGTGACAAACAAATACAACCTAGATAAAATAAGCCAAAGAAGCGATAATGCAAGCTTAAATGATCAAGAAACAAAGGGGGGAAAACATGTGTAAATATTGAGTCATCAGAGACTCGCTATAAGGAATGCCCCCATGGATTTGCTGATCCCTAGATTTTGGAGAGCAAGGATTGATCTAGGGAAACAGTTTCGCACAGAGATTGGAATTTGTCAAAGCATAAATGGTGGTGATACTCCGTCCCGAGCCTCCCTTCGCTCCCTGTATAAATTCAATCGCGCCGACTAATGCCTCCGCCAGGGATCCAATCAAGGTCGTGACCTTGACCGGGAAGAGGCAGTTCCCGTATAAGCCGTCGGGGAGCGGAGGGTCCAGCACTTGGCGGCATATCGCAAAGAACACGAGCTGCACCTCCACGTTCGAGTGGAGATCGACCGCGGAGGATCCGTACCTCCAGAGGCTGGTGGTGACGACCTTGAAGGTTGAGCAGATTTTGCTGCCCGTGGATGCCCGAAATTTGCTTTTGTCTTGGTTGATTTTGTTGACCTAGATGTTGATAACGCCTGCTGTAGGCTGTGGCTAGGGATTGGGGTGGTGGGTTGGTTAGGGTTTGATTGGTTTTTATTTTATTTTTTATTAATTATTTTGATGATGTGGATGCCGACATGGCAGGTGATTGGATCAAACTAACAGAATTTCGAATGGAGATGGACGAAATTACCTTTTTTTGTTATTAGTCCAAACATATGTTATTGAAACATGCAAAATTAAAGGTTTGTGACCGTTTTGTACAAAGTGAATAGTTTTGTGACCATTTATGATAAATACCCTTCATTTCCCGAGTCAAATATAAATCGCCATCGGTTCCAAAGTTGGAATCTTCGATCCACTCGGTTATATATCAAAATGGCATCACTCGATTTTCGATGCCCGTTCAAGAAAGCGGTGGTCTCCGATCAACAGAGGCGTCGGGAGCTGACATTATAGTGGCACACTCAGCGTCGCCAATGGCTTAAAAAACCCCTCTTGATACTTATTTGACTTACCTTCTCTTGGGTAGACTCGGGAGTCAGGAATGTTAGAGGTGGAATTTGGACGCCTCCGCGACCTCCTCCCTCCTTTTTCGCACCCTATCAACATGAGATTTCAATTTGTCGCCGGTCAAGATAAGATCAATCGTCATCCTTGTTTCATCCTCCCCAGCTACCCAGTCATTCAGCCTCGCTTGACGGTGCCGACAGAACTCACTCTTTAGCTTCTCTTGTTTTGTTTGTATCTTCCGCATCATCTCCATTATTTGCGCCAGACCACGTTCGACGTTGGTTTGGTTGCGTTCGATGGTGAGTTGAAGATCATCTTGTCCACGTTTGAGGTCGTCAGATTTGAACCAGAATTGCTTCTAACTTTCTTCCACCTCCTGTGCATCCGTCTGCCAAGGTCGTCTGCTCATGCCCAAACTTTCCCCAACTCGCGGAGCTGCTGCCCAACATCATCTTTGACAGGCTCGTGGGTGGTGGCAGAAGTTGCGGGCTTCTTCGACAGTATCCTTCATGACAAAACCAGGGTCTGGTGCCAATTGACCCGTGACAGATTCATGCATCGGGAATTTCTTAACAGCTACTACTAAGATAAATTGAAAATACTAGCTCGCTCTAACTACAACTTCCCAATCAAAGGCCAAGTTTAACCAACAACCGGGTGTGGCATAGTGTAATCCAGTAATGAAAATATTGAACCACGGGTCTCTAGATGTACCTTACTTCGGCCTAAGTTTCGTTATATAGCCAACCTAGAATAACAATAAGAAACTAATCTAGCTAAACTAACCTAACCACTACCCAAGCTAAGTATAAGTTGTGAGCTCTCTTAGTTAGAATCCCCCTAGTTCCATCATTTTGACTGATGTTACATACCATCCTAGCTCGATCAACTCAATACCTCTATCATTAGGAGATCGACTCACTCGGGGATTGACCCGGTTCAGCGTAGCAATAAATTGGTAGTGCTCTATTCAACCTAGGGAAAACATATGTTGTTAAGAGACTGATCGAATTGACTCCCTCGGTGATTAACCCTGAATGACATATAATGAGGAGTGACCCCAATTGCCAAGAATGGGTCAAAAAGATATTTTCTCCCGTCTAAATCAAAACCTCAATTGACACGTCAAACACATGCAATTCATGATAAACATCCATCAACTAAATAATATGAACAATCAAACATAGGATTTTTCACATGCATAAACTTCAAGCCAAAAACCAAACCCATCATCCTAACTACCTAAGAGAAGAGAGCTAAATCATAGAGAGGAGAGAGATTATAAATTGGAGCACAAGATCTTCATTCTTCATCCTCTATGATTGATCCCTTGACTACAAGCTTGATCAATGCCTTCAATTGAACTCCAAGATCACTCTCTCACTCTATAAATGCCTCTTTGTTGTTTTGGGTCGGAACCCGAAAGGAAAAACCAAGCTCTTCCCCAAAAACCAACTCCTCCCTTTCTTTCCCACAACTCCAAAAATTTATACTCTGCAGGATCAGCTCTAACACGGTCGTTTCAGTTGGCCGTGTTCACTTCCAAAAGTGTTGTGTTGTGATCTTCTGCTGAGGCAAGTCGAGGCCGACCTAACACAGCCTGAGAATACGTGCGTGTCCAGGCCTTGTTCTTAAGCCTTTTTCACTCTGCACCGTTGTTAGTCAATATCATGGCCTCTTCATTGATTATCACGGTCTGGGATACCATGATCCTTGCATATGCCCTCGAGATGCATGAAGGCTCCTAGAACTCAGCATCTGACTTGGGCTACCAACACAGCCATGGTGAGGGCCGTGTTCACCGAATGGTAAGAATCAGCTTTGGCCTAAAATGTTGTCGTGCCCATGCTAGTTGTGAGGAATACGGGAAAGGAGCATAGCCTTGTTCCAGACCGTGTTGGCCCTGTTTTCTTCATTCCTTGCCATTCTTACTAGGGGTGTAAGTTTGACCCTTAAAACCCACTGACCCGCCCCGACCCGCCCCGACCCGCAGGGTCGGGCTGGGTCAGTTTGTCGATAGGGTCAATTTAGGGTCGGGTCGGCTTAAGGTCGGGTCAGGGTCATATAGGGTCGGGTCAATTTA